CACACACACACACACACACACACACACACACACACACACACACACACGGTGCTAATTCCTCCCAACTTTCCTTTGGAAGGCGATTCATTTGAAGTAAGTGCTAAAAGAAAATAGATTCTCCCCAGTGACACTATTTCCATTTTTACAGCCAACACGAGAACCTTATGAATATCCCATGGCAGAATATAACCTGAGACCTATGAAAGCGAGATTGCAAAGTGATCCTGTTCTAAGCGGAATTTCAAAGTGTTGCCATCATACATTCCAGGTAAACCCCAGCAGCCTCTGGCTCTGTCACTGAACCTGCCAGAAGCACCCTCGAGGTCGTTGTCACCGACAACCTGACAGCTGTAGGTCAAGGATTTAGGAATCTCTGCCTCCTCCACAGTGACTCATATGAACATTGTTTCCCCAGTAACCTTTTGTATGCCCAGAGAGAGATACTTTTTCCAGTTGCCTTGGCATACATTTTGTACCTGAAATTTGGAAGACTTAAAATACTACATTTATTATTTAAATATTTTATTCTTAAGAGCGGTAAAATAAAAATTGCCTCAGACTGAGGAAACAAAAATCTACCAAGCACAGCAGGCTAGATAAGCAAACACAGTTAAGCCAACTGTAGGATTACGGGACCTCTTCCAGGGAAGCTTCCATTGTACCATGTCAGAGCAGCCACCGCTGAGTGATTGAAGACTTACTCTAACACTTCTTTTTTTATATCCAAAATAATCACTATTTTCTGTTTAGAACTACACTGAGACCTGCTGGGTGAGGTTCTTGCTAAGGGTAGAGGAAATACAGAACGGGTAGGAGAAGAAGGTAGTTACAAATACCAGCAAAGATCCCATGACCAGTTGCAGAAACAAAGAATACTATTGACGTGAGTGTTTCTGTCATGTTTGTTAAGAAAGTGTTTGTAAGGCTATTTGTGTTTCCTTTCCTCAGTTTTTTTTTTTTAATCAGGTAATGATAAATGCATCAGTACAACATCAATTAAGAGAAAATTAGTGGTTATCATATTTAGGTTTGAGATATTAAAAGAATGTCCCTCTAGGTACATTTTCACCCATTCTAAACTTTATAAAGCATTTGCAGTTGTTCAAAAGATAGTCATGCCAGGTCAAGCACAATTATGACCTGGTTAACTATATAATGCACTTACAGTGCTATGTGGTATAGTTGCATAATTCTAGGTGTAATTGTGTTTTCATTTGGAAATTAAGCATGACGTAAGGGGATAAGATTGTGTGTCAAGTTGACAAAGGGTGGGTGGATTTGTGGTGGCTGTTCTTGGTTGTCAACTTCACTACATCTGGAATTAGCTAAAACCCAAGTGGCTGGGTGCACCTGTGAGGAATTTTTTTCTTAATTAAGTCACTGAAGTGTGAAGATCCACTTCTAATCCAGATCTTCTGACGTGGGAAGATCTGTAAGTGGACTTTGCTACTTCGTGGGTTCTTTCTCTCACCCTTCTCCACCTGTTTTCTTCCACCTTTCAACCCCCTAACACTAGATAGGAGAGGAAAAAATGGGTGGAGAGAAAAGGAAAGAGAGCTCTGAATAAAGTCAGGGGTGGGAAAGGGGGTGACATTATTGTTAGACCACTTCCTGACGATTAGTGGTGTCGAGTTCCTTGTGACAAGTTCGACCTTCACTATCAGGATATCGAATTTCATTTTCTTATTGTTCCTTTTTTGTGTACCACTACTTAACAAACCATGACCAACTGCAACCAGCAACAACCAACTGCATCCAACAACAACCAACTGCATCCAACAGCAACCAACAACCCACCCCATCTCTTGGGTCCCCAGCATTTATATACCGTCTGAAAAGTCCCCAGAATTCCACACATCACACAATCAAAGCTGGCAAAACCACGCCCCTGCTAGAGCATTAGGCAAATCATAGTCAGCTGCTGCAAAGCAGCCCCATATCCCCACACCTGAGATTAAAACAAAAGCATCTTCCTATATTATTTCTGTGTTATAAAAAGAAACCAAAATTCCAAATTTGTCACTAGGAAGATCCACTTTTAATCTGGGCTACACCTTCTGCTAGCAGCCTACATAAAGGATACAGAAGAAGGAAGCCTTTGCTCTTTGCCTGCTGGCTCTCACTATCATTGGCAAGTCCGTTCTTACACTTGCATTAGAACCTACTTCTTCAGGATCTGGGCGTATGTTGAAAACCAGCTAAGACCTCCAGCCTTGTGGACTGAACAACCACTGGATTCTTGGACCTTCCATTGACAGATGGCCATTGTTAGACTAGCTAAACCACAGCCTAAAAGCCACTTTAATAAATCTCATAGCTATCTGTCTATGTATGCATGTGTAAATAAGTGTGTATGTGTTCGAGTGCATGTGCCTGTGTTGGGGGGGGGACATTCTATCAGTTCTGTTCTAGGGAACCCTGACTAATACATGCTTTGGTACTGAGACAGATGGAGTGTCTTGGAGCTGCCGCCTTGGCTTTAGCAGTCACGGCTCCCCTCGGGCTCTGCTCCCAACACTCATCGCATGGCTTACAACAACCACCTGAAACCACCTAGTGTTTGGGGGGCTCTAACACTCTCTTCCAGGATCTTCAGGCACCTGCATGCCATGGTACATACAGACTCATGCAGGCACACGTACACTTAAATGAGTAGCTCTGAAAAGAAGGCAACTTCCCACTGTCACTCGTAAGAGCTCCGTCAGAAAAGCAACCCTGACCCCCACCCCAGCAAACAGATCCAAATGGAAAATTTCTAGATATAATAGTTCACATTTATGTTAACTTTACTGTTGCCAAGGAAATGAGAGTATGTGTTTGCTCTGCAGAACAGACCTTCATCTGTGCTTTGCTCTTTCTAGCATCCTAACATAGTTTTCTTGTTTAAGAGCATGGGCCTCCTCCTTGTGTTTTGTTTCGGCACAGCCTATACTCATTCCTAGGCTCACTGAGAGAATGCTGTGCTTCTGTATAAAATCTTCAGGTAAAGAAATTTGTTGCTTGAATGATGGCTCAGAATTTTGAGCACTGGTTTTCAGACATTGAAAGATTCCAGTGCTCCTCTGCCGTAGTTTAGTTCCCTGGGACCTGTGAATTTTAAATTCTGAATTGGCTTTTAATCTAAGCAGAAACATTTCGAGAGCCAGGAAATCTGCTGGGTGTCAAAATGTTTTCTGGCTCTGCTGCTGCCAGAGTAACCAAAACTTCCTGCTTCTAGAATTATCACCAGGGCGGATGATGTGAACAAGACTCTCCAGTGAGACCGGGAAGCTCTGCAAATATCAAACAGACCATAGCGGGGAAAGGTAAGACACAGGGCCTGGGTCTCCCTCCATGCTTGGTCTGACAGGGTGGATGTGTTTAAGAAGACAGGAAAGACTATTATTCAGATATGTAACCCAGGATTGGAGGGCTGCCCCTGACTTACCCATGGGAATAGCCATAATCATAGGCTGAGGCTGTCTTCCGGCTGACTTCAGACCCTTGAGAATACTGGGCCGCTCCAAGACTGTAGGCCTGCGTGGCCTGCCGCTGGTAGGAGGCGGCAGACTCTTGAGTAAGGGCCTGGGACTCCTGGCGGTGTGCTGCAGAGGACCGGCTGCTGTAGGCGGTGGAGCCGTGGGTGTAGATGGCAGAGCGCTTCTTCTGCTGTTGGTAGTGGCTCATGGTGCTGCGAAGGTCCTTGTTCCGGTAACTGAGGTCATAGTGCTGGTGGGACTTCTGATAAAAAGGCAGAGACATCGTGTGCCCTAGAGTGGAGGGAGGCGACCTGCAAGAAAACCATTCCTTACTGAACCATCCCGAAGAACAGTTCATGCCAACCAATGCGTAAGCATGCACACAACAATCGTTCTGAGAAGTGAAGGGGAAGGATGTGAGTTCAGCTTAGCTGGGTACTCACCACCCCTTGGTGGCTCACACAGGCACCTCCTGCCACTATGCAGTCTGCTCTTTCTTGTCTAGAACAGATGAGCAGAGTTTCCTCATGGCTATTGTGCTTTTCTCTCAAATACTCCGTTACTCCTATTTCTAATACCCTTGGCCTTCTATTCTGATGCATGCTTCATTTAGGAGAATGTGGAATTATGGGAAATAATGTGGTATTCATTTAAAAAATAATGAGCACCTGCTGTGAGCCAAAAGTTATTCCAGCATGAGTACAGGTGAGAAAAACAAAACAGAAAACAAAAATCCTACTCCACCTGTCCAATGTTCAACAGCGTTGAGCATTCTGTAGGAGATCAGCAAGAGCCGGAATCAGTAGTTGTGGATTATACTGTGATTAATAGGTGCAATTAATAACTGCAATTAATAGGTGTGAAGTGTATTAGAATGCACCGTGGGCCATGGGGTAAAGTAAGAGACAGGATGCAAGTTAAAGCACCGTCATCAGAGACTGTTTCAATGAGACAGTTGAACAAAAGGCTGTCTGGAGAGAGTGCCCCAGACAGAGGGTCCGTGGAGAAGCAGCGAGGGAGAACAAGCACCGAGGAGGAGCAAATGGATCCGTCTCCACACAGAACTGAGGACAGTGCCCTCTGACAGAGTGATCACCCTATGGAGGACAGTGTGTGCCCACAGGAGAGCCACCACCATGTGGAAGCCCTGGAGAAGTGGGCCATCTACAAGCCATCAGAAGCTCATCCTTGTTTTACCTTTATTACTATTTTATGTGTCTTGATGCTCTGTCTGCATGTTACGCTTGTGCACCATGTATGTGCCTGGCCCCCGTGGGGAACAGAAGACGGTGCTGAAGTGACAAATGGCAGTGAGCTGCTATGTAGGTGCTGGGAATTGGACCTGGTTCCTCTAGATGAGCAACTTTATCTTAAAAAAAAAAAAATCCAAATCTAACAGCACTTGACCTTGGATTTCTAGGCTCCAGGCTGTAAGGAAATACATTCCTGTGGGTCAAACTATTAGTCCTTGACCTCGGTTCTCCTGGCTCTCACAGAGAAACACAGAGGTCACTTCCGTAGTTCAGGCTAATGAAAGCAGTGGCAGCAGCAGGACTGGAAGAAGGGCTCCACCTCTGCAGACGGTTTGAAGTTGCAACCCATGGCACTCACTGGGCGTTCTCCATTAGAGCGGAAAAGAAATGTTGCCAAGGTTTTTGGCCTGACTAACTAGAAGACTGAGGTTGCCATTATCTGAGATGAGGAAGAAAAGAAAACACCATCTTGGGACAGAAAGAAAAAAAAAAAGGCAAGAACCTGGTCTCAGATGTTCTCCATTTGAGGTACCTGCTACACCCTGCAGCTGAGGTTTTATGTGGGAAGGCAGGGGTGTGGATTTAAAGTACAAGGTACTAGTATAGGATGAATATCTAAATCTTGGAGTCAGCAGCATGTAGGTGAAACTGGAACTCAAGAAGATTGCTGGATTGTGAAACACACCTATAATCCCAGCACTCTGGGGACAGAGATAGGTGAATCTCCATGAGTCTGAGGCAAGCCTGGTTTATGCAAGTTCAGATCAACTAAGACTGCACAGTGATGCCTGTTCTCAGGTGGGGAGACAGATGACAGTGACAACAGAAAAGCCTTGAAACTAAACCTTGGGGACTGGCAATGTTTATGCATACAAAATCTTGCAAACACTTCAAACAGCAACTTCCAAACCAGAAAGAGTATATTCTATATAAAAATATGGAGAGTTCCAGTCACACTATGTGAAGAAGAAAGGGTCAGGCTTCAGTGTGGCGGCTGGCAGTGTGAGCTTGAGCTTCCTATCTGTCTAGCTATCAATTAATTAATTTTGTGTGTGTGTGTGGTGGTGGGGTTGCATGTGTGTCAGCATGTACGTGGAGGTCAGAGGACAAGTCAGCATCGGCTCTGGGGATCAGGCTGAGTGAGAAGTGCCTTTACTCTCTGAGCCCTCACATTTGCTTTTGTAAATACTGTGTTCACAAAAAAAACAAACAAACAAACAAAAAAAAAACACTGTCAATCACATGGCAAATGAAGGTAAGTCATAATTTTATAGACACCTCCTTCTAGGTTTCCAAAAAATACTCTTCTTTTCAAAACTATGAAGCTGTTTTCAAGTAAAGGTTTTTTTTTCTAACCTTGATTTGCTTAAAGATCCTAAGTGAGGAGTGAATCTTTTTTAATTTTTGTCATATTTAAAACTAAATTTTATTTAAGCCATTTAAAAAGTGAACATGTCCTCTCTAAAGAAGAAAATCCAGTAAACTCTGTTCCAGAAATATGTATCTAGGTCCCATGGAAAACACCAGTCTGCATGGCGTTTCCTAGCAAGCAACTGTTTCAACCCTTAAATAGATTGCTTTTTCTGTTACTAAATATGCAGAATTATACTTAATAAATAAGGACTAGGTAATGTTTATAGTATAAAAGCATTAGGATACATTAGTCTAGGATGGTATTAGAATTCGTGATGTATCAGATAAGTTTCTGTGATGATGCCATCAGAGTGACTTACAAGAAAAAAGATCTTTCATTTAAACATCACTACCCAGATGGTTCAATGCTATCGTTCCCACAAAACAAATCTTCTCAATGTCTTGTCCCAATTCTGTTTTCCACTGTTTATCATCTGCCCCAAGTATCTTTCTTTTATTAATACCTATGATTTAGTACGCAGGGGTCATGTGTTACCAGTCAACAGTCACCAGTGCTGACTGGTGAATAACCATGCTCTTTCCTTAAGTGAGCCAGGCTCAGTGCAACACATGACAGCCAGATTTGATTACAAATAAAGGTGGTTTTGTTGTCTTCTGTGCCTCTGAAACCTAGATTTTCTACCTAGAAATAATTTGGGAGGTTAGGAAGAAATACTAACTCCATGACTGTAATCTTGCTGTAATGCTCTAATACTGGCAGCAGAGGCCAAAAGCTGATGAAAATTACTTACAGAAGGGAATAGTTTCAAGGGCCACATGCCCAGTGTGCCACCTCACTATTACCCAGTCTCTCTCAAGTCAGAAATATCACAACACACACAGGAGTTCATCCCCTCTCTCTCTCTCTCTCTCTGAGCAAAGTCACTGAATCATGAACTAAGGAAGAACTGCAAGCATGCAGAAAAGGGAAAACTCTTCATGACTCCTGTCCCTCATCCAGTCCAGATTTCAACCAAAGTACTGAATTGTGATGTGGGAGAGTCCTTGAGTTGAATCTGAGACAAATATGATCTTATAGTTGTAGGAACAGCAGCTTAATTTCCAAAAGAATATGGTGGCGTGACAAAATTGCCACCAGCCCAGGCAGGCACCCTGCTGCTCTGCTTTCCTTTCCAAGAGTGTCCTCTGTTATTCCCTGCCGAGCTGTGAAGACCAGACGTAAACTAAACTACCGAGCACATTTGCGGCCTCTGTGTCACACTTACCAGTTTCTGGGGCAGGGATGCCAGGGGGACGTTCCACTGCTGCCACCGAGGAGCAGGAGGAGAGAATGAAGACCCACCGGAGGCCGAATCCAAGAGAGGAGTTAAGAGGCAGGGCTAGAGGCAGGATTCTGGGTGCCAGTTCAAAAATAATGCATGTGGTCAGGCAGCAGAATGTCAGGGCCCCACAGCCAGCCTTTTATGGCCAAGAGGGCAGATAAATATAGCAGCACTCCGGGAGGGGAGTCCCAAGCCCAGAGCAGAGGAGCAGAGCAGGAAGCGGCACGGGTAGCAGCATTAGGTTGATGGCTCAGTGAGTGTGGCCTGACGAAGCCAGATAGAGGACTTAAATAGAGGGCTATATGGGCTGTGTCCAGAGTAACCTTATTGCTTTATATTTAAACTAGCAATGCCACAAGTGGCTTGTGTCTAGAGCTAAAAACAGGTGTAGGAATCCGATCCTCAAAATGGACCTCATGGAATTTTAATGCCAAGATATGGCTTTGTGTGTGCTGTTGGTAACACATGTGCTACAGAGGTGAAAAGACAGCATGAAAGGAAAAACTCTAGGCATGCTAGTCGGCTCAGCTACACCCAGGCCCAGCTCCAGGGCTCCGAGTTGGCCCACTCCAAACTCTCTGTCATCCTTGAATGGTTGGGACTTGTGAAAGGGCCAGTCCTGCTGAGCCAGAGCTTCAGGATCTCTGTGACACAGGACAACAGGATAACTGGGAGGAGTCCTCCTGAGGATCCAGTATAGATGGTGTCACAGAGGCCAGAGATCCTGGACCAGACCAAGGACTCCTTACTATAAACATTTGCAAGTGAAGATGTGTGGACAGAGGGCTATACTGTGGGACATGCTGTGACATAGCACAGCTTCTATGATGAGATGTTTCCTATGCTTTGTTTTTGTTGTTGTTGTGTGTGTGTTTGGGGGGAGGGTGCTAGGGCTAAGGGAAGATATGAGGGGAAAGGGAGATGAGAGAGACTGGGGTGAATGATGTGAAATCCACATAGAATCGATTAAAAGTTTTTTAAAAAGAACTCTAGCTAGTAGATTTGCCTCACGTAGTTCCAAGAGATTTTTCTTTGCAGATGCAGTTTACTGTGCTCACACTGTCTATAAAAAAATACTTAATTCTATAATTAAGTATCTGTCTATATTTCAAGACCTACAAAGAGAGAGAGGGAGGGAGAGAGAAATTTTAGCTAGTTCTTTTCTTAAGGTAATAACTAGTTTTAAGGTAGATATACAGTTTTCTCTTTAAATTAGAAGGATGTTAATGTTTTCTGAGTATGAAATAATGAGTAGCTAGAAGACAAAATAAATACACAAGTTGTATTTGGCCCCTAGCATTCTGCCTGCTCACTTTCATCATGCAGAAGGACACGAAGTAGTTAGTAGCAGATTGTTACTCTAGGCATGGGGGTAGGGGAAGAAGAATCATTAAGGAATGAAATGTGAGAAAAACAAATAAGAGCTAAATCCTGCCTCAAATTAAGAAAGCTTTTTCCTAGGTTGTGGATTTTAATTCACAACTAAAATTCACATGTCAACAACATGCAAAAAGAAAAATCTGCATCTGTTCACTTTGGCTCATAAAGCATTCAGAGAAAGCCTGGGGATTCGTGCATCCGCGCGCCACGCCCTGCTAGCTCACTGAGGCACACACAGCACACTGTAGGATGGGGAGAGTCCTTAGGAATGATTACATTATGATGGCGTAGGTAACGTGACGCAATAAGGGTACAGTGCAGAAGGAAGACGCGATTCCTGGTTAGAGCTTCGTAAAGCAAAACCTAAAAGAACCCCTCACCTTTACAAGCTAGGAATAAAGGGGGACTCTAACGTTATGCTGAGAAAAGGGGAAGACATGTGACTGATATAGGTCCTGTGGTAAAACTTCCCAAATGCTAACCCACATCTCTCCAATGAAGATCCTTTAAACAGAAGAAAAATCATAGCTGGGTCGTTCAGTGTGCTCTTTTGAAGGCTGCAATTAGAGTAACCTGTTATTGTAGGATAACTGCCATGCCCCTTCACTAGCTTAAAGTTGCTGTGTGTGTGTGTGTGTGTGTGGGTGTGTGTTTGGAGGTGGGGCCCAGGTATCTGATGCCTAGTCTTACTGTTTACTGAATGACTTCAAGAACCACTTCACTACTGTAAAGATCTAGAACCACGCTCTTTCTCAAGTTGTCTCTGGATCCATTTTCTGTGCTTTCGATCTAGAAAGTGACTTCTACTTTGTCCTCACGCATAAGCTGATCTGGAACAGTTTGTTCTGAGGAAGGAAACTGCTTGGGGTTGACATGTCACCTCTAAAATGCTCCTTCATTGTTGTTGTTGATCTAATGTCGCCAAAAATAATCCAGAAATGTGTTACCATGTAAGGCTGTGGGTTGCAAATAGGGAAGGGGAGTGGGGAAGAGCAGGAGGACAGGGCCCAGAATTCTCATCAGAAGCCAAATTTCACCTAGTTATTAAATGAACCAGTTCTGAACTAGATCTAGATCTAAAATTAGAGCTAGTTATCTGAGCAGTGGCAAAATGAAGCCAACGCAGTCTTCCATCATGCTCTGCAGGCTACAAATGGCCCAAGCAAGCTCCCTCCAAACTCGGCAGAAGGAAAGGATTTCTGGGTCAGTGGTCCTGGAAAAGGGCAAGCTCGTGATGGTCCAGCACCAGCAGGTGAGTGACAAGTCAGGGTCCCAGCGTCCCCTTGGACTCGGTCTACTGCGACATCCCTGGAGTAGATTCTATGCCACCAACAAGCACAAACAGTTGGATAGAGACCTTGGTTCTCTGTGGAATTCTCAAGCATTTGAATATTAATTTCTTCCTACTCTTTTCTGCTGCCTATATTTCTTTCTCTTTCTTCTTTCTTCCATCACAGGAGCCTTTACTTTGCCAAACCCTCCATGTTAATTATGTTTCTCACTGCTCTGACAAAATACCCAAGAAAAGCAACTCAAAGAATGCAGCTCTGGTTCACAGCTTGAGGGTCCATCATGGAGTGAAGACGTGGTCCATCACGGAGGGAAGGCGTGGCGACAGGTACAGAGAGAGGGATGCATGCTGGTACTCAGCTGGCTTTCTTCTTTTCCCTCAGTCTGGGACCCCAGGTCATGCCATGGTGCCACCCACATTCAAGGTAAGTCTTTCCTGCCCAGTTAAACCTTCCTAGAAACACACCGAGAGAAACTGCCATGCTCTCCATGTCTGATCGAGGAGGGAAACCCTTGGTTGCTGACATGCATCTGCCTGGGATTGTTGGTTAAGTCGGCAGAGACTGATAAAACACACAAGCATGAAGAGAAATGGTCAGCAGCACTAATGGCAGCTCTCACTGATGCAGAGGTGAAGGAGTGACCTTGGCGTCTGCCTCCACCTTGATCCAAACCCCAGCCTTGACACATCTCTCCCGAGACTACATTTTCTGGAGGCAGAGTTTAGTATGGATGGGGCAGCATCTTAAATGACAAATAGGTCCCAAGTCCCAGGCCAGCCATAATCACCTATAGCCTAAGATGCCCTAATGTATCCTATGGATGAGAAGGTAGCTGCACTGTTTTAACCTTGATCCATACCCTACTCTCACCACGTCCCTCTGCCCTCCACAGATAGATGAAAGGCTCTGTGAATGCTGTGCTCTCTTGCAGTAAGAACAGTGAGCCACACAGCTGTTTGCTCAGTTTCTTTCCTTTTTTCTTTCTCCTCACCCCACGCCCCTTCCTGTGGTCCTCACAGGATCTTTGCTTAACTTGGGCTGTAATGTTTCTCTCTCATTGTTAACTAATGTGTGCCAGCAGACAATAGGTTTGAATTTTCAGACAGGAAATTTGAAAATGCTGCATTTTGAGAATGATGGCAGCTGGGCGCGGTGGTGCAAGCCTGTGATCCCAGCGCTCGGAGAGGCAGAGGCCAGCCTGGATTACAAAGCATTACAAAGTGCATCAGCGCTAACGCCCACTGTCAAAAAGTCTGGGCAGTGTGATGGCTACGTACAGCAAACCAGGTCTAAAGTCAAGGCAGCTTCAGGGCTGCAGCTGGGGACGGAGCATGCGTACAGGCAGAGCTCATTCCATCTCCTCTCCCTTAGATCTTCTCTGGGGCCCTCCCTGCTTTCCCAGACACCCTCCTTAACACAGTTTAGGGGATCTTGGCCATCGGACAGGCATCCTCCTGCAGTCCCACCCCTCTCTGTTTCTCCGCTTCGCCCCTCAGTTCCACCCACAGCAATTCCTCAAGCTCCCGGACTTGATGCCCCAGCTCCTCCACTCACCAGTTTTGAAGTTTCAGATCCTGTGCTCCTCAGATACAGTGTGCGCTGGTCACAGACATCTTGGATCCTCGCCCCAGCTCCTCCAAATGTGACACTCCTCTCTGTTTGCCTAGCTTCTCCTAGCGGTGAACACTTCTTTCCTTGATTCACTTCGACTCCATGAGTGCTCCTTGTCATCCCCTTTGGGAAAATGTCCCCAGTTCCACTAGGCTGTGAATTTCATCAATGATCTATAGCCAGCGTGTTTATCTTTCTGTCTCCTATACTGTGACTTACCTGCAGGCAGAAGCTGGCCTTTTGTAAGACTCCCAGTATCTATCTAGCATAGCTCTTGACACGTAATGGGCATTTGATAAAGAATCAGGGACTACTTAGAGATGGGAAAACGAGAACTATGAGGCAGCCAGGGACGGGATCAAGAGATGAGTAAGAGATCAGAATGGCTTTCAGTACCATCTACCCTGTGTTTGTCTCCAGAGCTGGTGATGGAGCGAGCCAGCCAGACTACTGCATGTCCTAAGCCTACAAGAGTCAGATTCACAGAGACAGAAAGCAGAATGGCACTTGCCAGGGGCTGGAGTGGTACGTTTAGTGGGGATGAAATTTTGGCTGGCGGAGGTGGAAAAGTTCTCGAGATGAGTGAGAATGGCTAATGCTACAGAATGGTGCTCTATGAAATGGTTAAAGTGGGGGGAAGACCCTTGTGGATTCATAACTGCTCCATATGGCTAGTTCACCCTCTGTCAGTCCTGGCTACTGAGAACCCTCCTTTCCAACAGGTAGACT